CAACCGGCTTTTTGAGGAACTGGCCATGGATGTGTACGACGAGGTGGATCGAAGGGAAAATGACGCTGGTGAGCCAGGAGGGCATGGAAGTCTTGGGCAGAGGGGACAGAGGACCTGCCAGCCAGGGAGGGCTGGGACCTGGGTGACTCTTTCACCAGGACTAGGAAGAGGTACCCGGCTTGGTCTGCTCGGCAGGCCTGCCCGTGAGCCCCGCCAGCTGGGAGCCCAGCAGCCAGCGTTGCTGGCGGGTGGGCAGAGCTGCCGAGAGGAGGCAGCCAGCCTGCTCCTCTCCCCAGCCCCCTGGACCGGGGCTCCTCTCCGCCCCATGGCCGCCCTCTCTGGCTCTCTCCCCAGCCGTGCTCCACCCCCTCCATCCCTCCTTCCTGGCCACAGCAGATTCCAGCCCAGAGGCCGGAGGGAGCCGCCTCCTCCTGTTGTCAGTCCCCAGCTGGCCTCGCCCAGCCGTGCCCTGACCCAGCCCTGCATCCCGTGTCCAGAGACCACTTGTGTTCCGAACACCCGTGTTCGGGGCCCTGCGGGCCTGGGAAGGAGCTCGGAAGGCGGGGCTCTGGCCCTCCCGCCCCGGCCTGTTCCGCGGGCCCAGCCTCCGTGGACAGTCCGTGCCCCTCCCCCACAGTGTGGCTGGCGACCCAGAACCACAGCACCCTGGTGACGGAGCGCAGCGCCGTGCCCTTCCTGCCCGTGAACCCCGAGTACTCAGCCACGCGGAATCAGGTGAGCGGGCTGGACGGGGCCTGGGGCCGTCTCTTCCCTTGCTGGGTCACCGCACTGCGGGGCCCTGCCCTTCCCTTCCCGGCAGGCAGGCCATTGTTTGCTGCTCTTCCCCACTCCTGGCTGAGGCCTCACCCTGGCTCCGGGATGTGGGAATGGGGAGGAAGCTGTCCTGTTAGCCCTGGGTGAGCAGCCCCTGGGCGCTATCCCAGCCTCTGAGAGATCCCCCAGGCCCTCCACATCTGTCACCCTGGGCTGGGCTCCTTGCACGGCCTGGCTGCTCTGTCCCCAACGCCTCGTCAGCCACACGGGCCTCCTCACACTAGCCCGGCCCTGCCTCCCTCCCAGGGGCGACAGAAGCTGGCCCGTTTTAACGCCCGCGAGTTCGCCACCTTGATCATCGACATCCTCAGCGAGGCCAAGCGGAGACAGCAGGGCAGGAGCCTGGGCAGCCCCACAGGTGGGAAGGGCGCGGGCGCCACTCCAGGGCACGCTCCCTGCGGGCGGCGCACGGGCTTCAGGCCCGGGTGCTGAGTGACAGGCCTGTGCCCTCAGACAACCTCGAGCTGTCCGCGCGGGGCCAGAGCGACCTGGACGACCAGCACGACTACGACAGCGTGGCCTCGGACGAGGACACAGACCAGGAGCCCCTGCGCAGTGCCGGCGCCACGCGGAACAACCGAGCGCGGGTCCGAGAGCCGCCCCGACCCCCCATCCTCCTATCCTGGGGCCCCATCGGCGACAAGGGGGCTGACCGGCCCGTCTCCCTCTGCAGAGCATGGACTCCTCGGACCTGTCGGACGGGGCCGTGACGCTGCAGGAGTACCTGGAGCTGAAGAAGGCCCTGGCCGCCTCTGAGGCCAAGGTGCAGCAGCTCATGAAGGTCAACAGCAGCCTGAGCGATGAGCTACGGAGGCTGCAGAGGGAGGTGAGGATGGGCTCCTGGGCCCTGCTGGGCGGGGAAGGGGCATGCTCCCGGAGGCGGCGGTGCTGCCCGGGGTTTCTGACGCCCCTCTCACTCTCAGATCCACAAGCTGCAGGCCGAGAACCTGCAGATCCGGCAGCCTCCAGGGCCAGTGCCCACACCCCCTCTCCCCAGCGAGCGAGCTGAGCACGCGCCCGTGGGACCTGGCGGGAGCGCCCACCGCAGGGACCGCCAGGCCTTTTCCATGTATGAACCAGGCTCCGCCCTGAAGCCCTTTGGGGGCCCGCCTGGGGACGAGCTCGCCACCCGGCTCCAGCCTTTCCACAGCACCGTGAGCCGCCTGCAGGCCCCAGGAGGGTGGGGTGGGGACAGGGTTGGGACCAGCTCAGGGCCCCCTGTGACCCCCCTGTGCCACCCCCAGGAGCTGGAGGACGACGCCATCTATTCAGTGCACGTCCCTGCCGGCTTTTACCGGGTAAGCAGGGCCTGGGAAGCGGGTCCATTCCCACAAATAGGCTCTGGGCCCCAGCGGCTGCCAGGCTCTCTGCAGGACACTGGGCACAGGGTGACGACACACACGGTCCCGGCCTTGCTGCAGGGAGGCCGCTAGGCGGGGGTGCGGGGAGGAGGAGACTGACTCCAGCCCTGCCTGGGTTTCAGATCCGGAAGGGGGTGTCGGCCTCAGCTGTGCCCTTCACTCCCTCCTCCCCACTGCTGCCGTGCTCCCAGGAAGGAGGCCGCCACACGGTAACGAGCATCCCCATGGCCCAAGGGAGGGACGGGCTGAGCAAGAGGTGTGCTGGCAAGGTGACGGGGGTCCGCGAGCACACCCCTGACCTGTTGCCCCGGCCCTGTGCCCTCCAGAGCAAGCTCTCCCGCCACGGCAGCGGCGCAGACAGTGACTATGAGAACACGCAGAGTGGGGACCCGCTGCTGGGGTGAGGCACCGTGGGGCGAGGGGGTGGTGGCCCCAAGCATCTGGAGGGTGTCTGCAAGGGGCCTCACGGCCAGAATGCTGCCTCCCTGTCTAACCCCAGCCTGGAAGGGAAGAGGTTTCTGGAGCTGGGCAAGGAAGAGGACTTTCACCCGGAGTTGGAAAGCCTGGATGGCGACCTTGACCCCGGGCTTCCCAGCACGGAGGATGTCATCTTGAAGACGGAGCAGGTCACCAAGAACATTCAGGAGCTGCTGCGGGCTGCCCAGGAGTTCAAGCACGACAGGTACGGAGGCGGAGGCGGCGGAGGCTCGCACGGCCTCGGGGGTTGCGGAGGACGAGGGAGGGACCAGTGCCCCGCAGGCCCGGGACCCTTCCTTCACTTACCCTTCCGTCCCCCTGCCCAGCTTCGTGCCCTGCTCAGAGAAGATCCATCTGGCTGTGACTGAGATGGCCTCTCTCTTCCCAAAGGTACAGGGGCCAGAGGGGAGCTGGAGGGGGCGGGGGGCGCCTCAGGGTGGGCGGGTGTAGAGAGTCTGACGGCGCCAGCCTGGTTGGACCCCTGGACCCTCGGGGCCCCATCCTGGCTCATGGTTGGTTTGACATCCAAGGCCTGACTGCTCCACAGAGGCCTGCCCTGGAGCCCGTGCGAAGCTCGCTACGGCTGCTCAACGCCAGCGCCTACCGGCTGCAGAGCGAGTGTCGGAAGACAGTGCCCCCAGAGCCCGGCGCCCCTGTGGACTTCCAGCTGCTGACTCAACAGGTGATCCAGTGCGCCTATGACATTGCCAAGGCCGCCAAGCAGCTGGTCACCATCACCACCCGTGAGAAGAAGCAGTGACCAGGCCCCGCCCCACACCCGCACCCTGGGACCTCACCGGCCGTGGCAGCCGGGCCACTCCAGACACTCATCCCCACCCCCACCGAGCCGCTGGCCCAAGTGCCCTTAGCGCTGCCACTCTCCCCGGCAGCCAGGTGCCCTGGTGCCCGTCCCCCTCGAGCCCCCAAGGATGGGGAGGTGAGGTGGCAGGAGCTTCTGCCCCCACATTCCATGCACCCCTCCGTGTACATAGCCCCCCGCCCCCTCTAGCGTGCAGGGGCCTGCAAGGCGGCACTCCCAACCCCATGCCCTCGGGGGCACCCTCAGCCAAGGGTCAGGTGGGGACACTCCAAGTGGGGCAGCTCCCTGATGCACCCCACCCCCATGAGCCAGTCCAGCCCTCCTGGGGGCTGCGCGGGGGGCATCCCCCTTGTACATAATACCTGTGGATGTCCCCGCCCTGTAGCCACCAGCCCCCCGCTGCTCTCTCCTTCAATGCCAAACGGCCCCGCCTGGGGCACAGGCCCCAACCTGTGTCCCGGGGTCCTCAGCAGCAAACACTGGAAAAGTCTAATCTTTTTGTTTCTCCTCTCCTCTCCTCTCTTCCACCCCTTAATTTTAACGTTGTGGTAACTGAGTGTGCCTGCGTGTGAGTGTGTGGGGCGGCAGTGCCGTTCCAGAGGCCTGGCCCGTCTGGGGTTTCGTGAGGGGTGAGGGGACCAGGGTTGGGCGTTGACCTCCCCCCCCATCCTGGGGCCAGGGGCTGGGGGAGGGAACCAGCTGGGTCCTGCCCTCTGCCTCCCCTCATTGCTCCCCCCACTCATACCCTCTGTCTATGAACTAAAGGAAAACCACTTTGCTCCATCTCTCTTCCCCTCCCTTATGGAGGGGAAAAGTGCCGGCTGGGGCAACTGAGCACCCGAGCCTGGGGCTGGCTCCCCGGGGTCCCCGACTAAGCTGAGAGCCCCTCCCTGTAACCTCCGAGAGGCCAGCGCCTGCGGTGTCTGGGTCCCTGGAGCCTGGGTTGCAGCCTGGGGAGGCAGATGGCAGCGCTACCCGCTCCTCTCCCTGCCCCACCTCTGTCCCAGGGGCCAGGCTCTACCTGTGTGGTGGTGGGTGGGCTGACTGTCAAGACGTGTGTCATGTACATTTGTATCAAAAATAAATAAGTGACCATGTGCTCTTTCTGATGCTTTGGGAACTGTGGGAGGAGGGCTCAGTGAGGTGCAGACCTGAAACGGAGAAAGACCAACCTGGCAAAAGTATGAAGCCAGTGAGAACAGTGACTGCTGCAGCCCCCATACTGAAGGGGGGGAAGCCCCCCGTCTTCTGTTAGCGGGGTCCTGCAAACAACAACGTTTCAGTAACTACCACCAGCGTTCTGCCAGCCGCTCGCCCATGGTGGTGGGAAGGGTCTACCACGTTACTAAAACCCAGGATCTGAGGCCAGGTTAGCAAGAGGCGGCAAGCAAGAGGGTGCCTGACTTGATCCTATAACCTCCTCTCTACCTCAAACACGACCTACGTGACCTAGGCCAGTGTCCCCGGTGGGAGTGAGTCTGTCTGTGTGGCAGATACACAAGCTCAACTCCAGCCTCTACTAAAATAATTTAATAAAAACAGAGTTTTTGCAACGGAGGCTGAAACTGCTCCTTTCTCCTCCTCCTCCCCCACCCCGTTCCTCCCAGCAAGCCACACATAGGACCAGCCCATCAGCCGCGCTCGGGCGTGACTGCTCCCTCCGGCCGCCAGGGGGCGGCCCCGCGCGCGGGCCACGTGGCGGAGGTCGCGGCCTCCGGCGCGGGGAGGAGCCGGACCTGCCACAGCGGCAGGGCCGGTGCAGGTCACTCGGAGCTGTCCCCGTCCGGGCCGCTGTCCGGCGTGGGCGGGAGGAGGGGTCTCCGGCGGGAGCGCTTGACCCGGCGAGGGGGCATCAGCAGCCTCCGCTTCAGCACAGCTATGGGCAGAAGGGGGAGCGGTCAAGGGCCAGGAAGCCCCCGGGGGCGGGGCTGTGGGTGAGGAGGGCCGCGTCTCACCAGCCACGGTGTCCCGGCTGTCCACCGTGGGCTCCCAGTAGATGCTCTCCCCGCGTCTGAAGTTTCGGTGCAGCCGAGTGCAGAGCGTGGCCAGTGTGAGAAGCACCAACAGGAAAGTCAGGGCCATGGCCGCCCAGGCGGCCTCCTCCGTGCGAGGGGTGGGGCCGCGGGCAGCCCTTGGTGGCGCTGCTGCCCGAGGGGCCGGGGAAGCCTGACCCGGACAGGCACAGCCCCCAGGGCTGTTCTGCCCTTTGGGCGGCTGAGCCTCCAGCCTGGAGCTGACATTGCTTCCTGGTCCCCCAGGCAGCAGTGGGCTAGTGGGCACAGACCGGGCATTATCACCTTCACCCTGAGGTCCCAACATGGGCTGCTTGGCCTCCAAGCTCCCTGGGGAAACAGAGGGGAACCTCGGGGCTGAGGGGGTGGGCTGGAGACCAAAGGCGGCCCGCAGCCCACGTCTCCTGGCACCACTAGCAAAGAGCTGCCCAGGTCTGCTAGATTCCACCTCCATGCCGGGGGGCCGCCAGCTCCTCAGAGTAAAGGCCAAAGCCGGGGCCTAAGAGCAGAAGAGATAGCGGTCACCTCCTCCCTGCCCAGATAACCCAATGACACCACCACCCTGAGCCAGCAACCCCATGACCGCCACACCTAGCCAGCACCCCTCACCTGCACACACCCTCGCCGATGGCACAGCTTCCCTCTGCCCAGCGTGGGCACCAAGGAAGGGGGCCCAGGAACAGCGTCAAAATGGAACCCAGCTTTCTCTCTCCTCTGCTTCCGCCGCTGCCTCCTCTTCAGCCAGTGGGCAGCCCGGGCCGGCTCCACCCACGCCATCTCCAGCGCTAACCCCCATGCTGCCAGTACAAGGGGCTACGAAAGGAGGAGGAACTGTTACAGTTAAGTCAAAGCTGGGCAGCAAGCAAGCGGAGGCCCTGAATTCACCTTGCCCTGCCCATGGCGCTGCAGCCTCCGCTGGTACCAGACAACCACCTTTCAGCAAGCACTTACCCGATCCTGGGTGAGGCTGGAATCAGGGGCCAGTGAGGGCTGGGCCACACAAGTGTGGGCGAGGAGGGCAAGCTGGAGCTTCAGCCAGGGGTGGGCACAGGGGTGGTAAAGGAAGCTGACATCCTCAGCCTGCAGGAAAGGCATGGAGATGTCAAGCCAGGCCCAGGTCCCTCCTGAGAGTCCCAAGTTCTCCCATCCTGGGGAGCCAACTTCAAGGGACTCCCAGGATGACCAGATGATCCTCCCTCCTTCTGGGCTCAGGAAAGGATAAAGAGCCCTGGATACTGGCGTGCATGCCCTCTTGCCTCTGGGCATTCCTTCATCCCTCCTGAGTAGTGCCACCCCCCAGACGTCATAGCTTCCACGACAACATGCGTGGTTAACCCTGCCAGGCTCAGACCACCCTCTTCAGCTATGTTCCTCTGCACCTGGCTCTACAGGTCCCCCATCTAGGCTGTAACCACCCCCGCAAAGAGAGACCGAGTCTTCCACGTATTGACCCATCTATATATATTCAGTCTCCCCAAAGCATCCGAATACAGGGCACACAGGCAGCAGGTGCACAACCTCAGGATGGAAACACTTCAATTATTAATCATTCTTTGATTGAGCTGACCTGATGCTCGGCATTTGTGCCGAAGGCTGTAGGAGATGCCAAAAGAGAACTCCTGGGCTCCGCTTGCAGGGAATACAAAGGAAAACTCAGGGAAACAGGACTAATGCAAATAAACGAGCAAACTAATAAAGCTCAAAGTGATTAGCAGTTAAATTTTAAGAGACAATTACAAGCATTATACAAATTTGGAGAAGGTGATGAATAAATAAGGGCTAATGTGCTCAGGCAAGGTCTCAAGGGAGAGCTGACTCCTGCCCTGGGCCTTGAAGAAGGGTGGGGATGGACGGCAGGAGTGCAGGGAGCTGCCCCACTTCAAGTCAGGTCAGGCCAGGTATAGAGGGGAAGGAGCCTCACACTCACGGGTGGTGAGCAGACCAACACGACTGAAGGGGAACCAAAGCTGTGGAGAGGTTAGCCGAGGCTTACTGAACCAGGTAGAGCCAGAAAAACCAGACAGGGGGGGTGGGGCCACGATAAGGTGGGAAATGAGGAGCCACTGGTTTCTGAACAGTTTGCAATGAAAAGGGCTGTTTGGGGAAAGGAAATAGATAGGTGGCATGAGCTCTTCTGGCTTGGAGATATTACAAGGATCAAAAATAGGTATTTCAAAAGGAAAACCAAAAGGACAGAGAAGCTATCCAACCACTGGCAGTGAAGCATGCAGCCACACAAGGTGAGCCCAAGGTTTGGTCGGTAACCTGAGGTACACACACTCCGTGCTGTTGGTTAGTTGCTAAGTCGTGTCTGACTCTTTTTGACCCCGTGGACGATAGCCCACCAGGCTCCTCTGTCCATGGGATTTCCCACGCAAGGATACTGGAGTGGGTTGCCATTTCCTTCTCCAGGGGATCTTCCCAGCCCAGGGATCAAACCCACGTCTCCTGCATTGCAGGCGGATTTTTTACCACTGAGTCACCTGGGAAGCCCATTACACACACACACACTCTTTACGCTTCCTATTTTCCTAAGTGCTATCCCACACAATTTGTTTACGCCTTATGGGGAGCGTGTGTGCTCAGTTGTGACCCCCTGGGCTGTACCCTGCCAGGCTCCTCTGTCCATGGAATTTTCCAGGGAAGAATAATGGAGAGGGTTACCATTTCCTACTCCAGGGGATCTTCCTGACTCAGGGATTGAACCCACATCTCTTGCGTATCCTGCATTGACAGGTGGATTCTTTACCACCAGTCCCACCTGGGAAGGCCATAATAACCACTAAGAACCTCTCTCACAGAAAAGTGGGGCCCAGAGAAGTCAGCAGACTTCCCAAGTCACACAGCAGGGCTAGAGCATTGGCTGTTTTCTCCTAGGACTCTCAACCCCCTTGCAGCCTCCTGCCCACAGTTAGCTACTCAATAGCATTCCTGACACCTCGCTGCAGAAGACAGAGGCCTAAGCTCACAGTCCTGGGACTAAGAGCATTGTCTCCTCCTGGAGTGGGGAGCGGTAAAGAATGGAGCCAGTGAGCAGAAGAGGTGGAGGAAGCCTGCAAGGAGTTGGCTGTTTCCAGCACAGACCCCGAGGATGCCTCCTGATTGTACTCACCTGCCGTGGCCGCATTCGTGTGTAGGTCACTCTTGGTGACACCTGTACCAGGGAGACAAGAGAACTGAGAGGCCCCGGGAGACTCCGCTGGGGGGGATAGGGGTGGGACAGGACAGCAGGCCGTGCTGTCACGTTGGGTGGTGACGCTGGTGACGAGGGCCGGAGGAACAAGGTGCCCAGAGGATGGCTGTGGAGGGCACCGCGAGGCCAGGGCGGGACTGCGCTACCCCTTCACGTTTCTCTCTCCCACCGCCCTCCAGGCTCCCACCTGTGGAGGCAGAGGCCACAGGCCCTCGGGACAACGGGCTCCCGCCTCCTCCGCCGCCGGTTCAGCCACCACCTGTGGGTTCAAGGCGCAGAAGAGCTGGATCGTCTGGCCTCGGAGAGGGCTCTGCCCTCTCCCTCCCAGGCCCAGCACTCCAGGGGAGAATCCCGAGTGCCCCTCTCGGCACGCCCTTCCTTCTGGCAAAGCACTTGGAGACCCCGGGCCGAAGGCTTCTCGGCAGCCGGTCGCCTTACCTCACGGGGACCCAGGAGCCCCGCCAGGGCGGCCAGGAGCAACAGCTGGGGCGGCGGAGGAGGAGGCGCCATCCCGGCCCGCCCCAGGCCAGCCGGCCGCCCAGCCAACAAGGGAACGCTCGCCGCCAGGGCCTGCCCCCGCGCACCCACGCCGCCCGCGTGCCCACGTAGTAGCGCAGCGAGACTGGCGGGACCACCTCCCTCCCCCGGCACTGGTCCCATTGGGTCTCCGCGGCCTGCAGGGCGCAGCTGCAGCTCCTGGGTGGGATCGTGGAGCGGGAAGGAGGGCGGAAAATGGAACTCCTGTGAACTAGGTGGCCCAGGAGAGGAGACGCGTCCACTCCTTTGGTAAACCCGCTTCAGACTCATCACTGGAAGAGAGGCAGAATCTTGAAATACAAACTGCGGAAAGGAGAGGGTCCCCACTGCTTCCTTCGCAAATAGCTCCCGAATCCGGAGGAGTCTCTGAGAGGGTCTGAGAGGGTCTCGGGCCTCCACGCTCCCCAGGCCCGGAAGTCCCGGGAAGCTGCAGACAGGCTGGGGGCTGCTTTGTTGTCCACGTCCGCCTCCGCTTTCGTGATAAGCCCAGCGGCGGCCCGCCGGTGCCCGAGGAGACTTTGGCCACCTCGTGAGGTGGAGTCACAGGCCTCGCCCCCATCAGGGTGCTCGGGCCAGACATTCCCCGCAGCAGGGCGCCCGCTGTGCCGCCTTATCCCGGGCGCCCATCTCCTTGGCCCAGCTTGGGATTTTGAGGGAAAACGGGAAAGTGGGTGGAGGGTGAGAGCTGTAATGTCCAGCCTAAAACTTTGAAATCGAGCAAGAGTCTCCCACATCCACCGCCCCCACCCCCCGTGACTTGCAAGGGGTATTTCTTACCCGAGCCCCAGAGATTGAGCTGATGAAGGGACTCAATCCATACCCCGCCACGACCCGCTGGCGGGGTGACAGGCACCTCCTCCAAGGGCACCCGAATGCATCTTTCCCTCCGGCTCAGGGTTTGTTTCTTTTGGGGAAGTCCTTCCTGGGGAGCGGTGTTGAGGGTTCCCTCTCCCTGCAGCCAGGATCCAGGGCAGCCCCATGCTCGCGGGGGCGTCGGCAGGGCGTTCTAATGCAGGCAAGGGAAACGCGCAGTCCCTGGCCCTCTGGGCTCCAGCTGCAAGCCCGCGGTCGGGGCGCGACGCCTGCCCTGGCCCTCGCTGGCCCAGAGCCGGACCCCCTCCCGGCAGGAGTTATTGCGCAGTTGCGGGTGCCGGCGGGGCGGAGACGGACACCGAGATCTGAGAGGACCGCGGGTCCGGGCGACCGAGGTGCGGGTGATGGTTCCCGCTGCAGCCGCGCCGCGCCGCGCCGCCCCGCGGGAGCCCGGGGTCCGCGCCGGGAGCTGCAGTTCATTAGCTTCTCCCTTTTGCTGCTTCTCGGCAGCGGCCCCTGAGGGCGCAGTGACCAGGGGCTCCCCAGGAGCCACATACCCCACACACCAAGCGGGGCGGAGGGGTGGGGGCAGAGGATTCTGAGGCTCACCCCCGTCTCCCCGGCCTCGGCCTCCGAGTCTCCCCACACTCCGCCGCCGCCCACACTCCGTTCCTCGGCTCGCCTTCCCCACTCCCTTCCGCCTCGCCGGCGCGTCCTCGCTGCCTCTTCTCCAGCCTCGCCATGCCACCGTGGGGCGCCGCCCTCGCCCTGCTCCTGGCCGCGCTCGCCCTGCTCGCCCTGCGGCTGCGGCGCCCCAGCAGGCGCGCCGTCGGAGCGAGGACCCTGCCGGGGGCGAGGAGCGAAGATCACGGGGAGATGGACGGCGGAGGCCCCGCGGGTCAGTTAAGCGACGGGCGGGAGCCTCTACCCGGCGGCTGCAGGCTCATCTGTAAGCCGTCGGCGCTGGCCCAGTGCCTGCTGCGCGCTCTGCGACGCTCAGCCGCGCTAGAGCCGGGGCCGCTCCCCTGGCTCTCCGGGCCCCACCTGCAGACCCTCTGCCACTTCGTGCTGCCGGTGGGGCCGGGGTCAGAGCTGGCCCGGGAGTACCTGCAGTTGGCAGACGACGGGCTGGTGGCCTTGGACTGGGTAGTGGGACCTGGCGCCCGGGGCCGCCGGGCCACCAATGCCGGGGGCCTCCCGGCGGTACTGCTGGTGATCCCCAATGCCTGGGGGCGCCTCACCCGCAACGTGCTCGGCCTCTGCCTGCTGGCCCTGGAGCGGGGCTACTACCCGGTGATCTTCCACCGGCGCGGCCACCACGGCTGCCCACTGGTCAGCCCCCGGCTGCAGCCCTTTGGGGACCCGTCCGACCTCAAAGAGGCCATCACTTACATCCGCTTCCGACACCCCGCCGCCCCGCTGTTCGCGGTGAGCGAGGGCTCGGGCTCGGCGCTGCTGCTGTCCTACCTGGGCGAGTGTGGCTCCTCCAGCTACGTGACCGGAGCTGCCTGCATCTCGCCCGTGCTACGCTGCCGCGAGTGGTTTGAGGCCGGCCTGCCCTGGCCCTACGAGCGGGGCTTTCTGCTTCACCAGAAGATCGCCCTCAGCAGGTGGGTAATGGGGGCCCGCAGACCCGGTGGGTAGGGGTTTGGGGCTGGGAAACAGCTCTGCCTGGTAATGAATCAAACATGTGTAGAGCAATTTGGGCAGAGTTCTCCACACACAGTTTCTGAAGCGTCCAAACCCTCTAGTCTGGACAGAATCAGAGAAGCAAATTTAAAAGCCACGGACCGCCTGAGTCAGCATCATTAGCTGGAGCAGGGACTCCAGCCCAGGGGACCCCCTGGCCTCACCTCAGCTGCACCGCTAGCAACCTGAGCACCTGATGCTGCACATCGCCTAATCAAATCAGCAAAGAGGGCTCTGGAAGCAATTGTGACTGATTGTCCAGAATGTTTCCTTATAGCCTCTGAGCCTGAAGGTGACAGGAATCAGAAATTTGGTGGTTATTTGATTTATTGAAATTCCTTAGACCTGACAAGTGTTTTGCATATTCCTAGTACTCAATATTTATTGCAAAAATTTTAAGAATGTTTAAACATATTTCTTTAAGTATCCAAAAAGAAAAGAATCTACCACCAGGGTAATAGGGAGACTCTTCCACTGAAAAGGCCTGGGGGGACAGTCCCACAGCAAATAACCAGGCCTCGGCTTACACTGTTGCTTTCCTAGGAGATGAAGGGGTTAGCTAAGTTGCTGGGAATTCAGGATTTGAACCCAAATGGGTCTGACCCCACATGCCAGGTCTTTCTGCCCCACCATTGTGTGGCCATCATGTCTAGCTAATCCCTATGAGCCTCACTTTCCTCTTCAGTGAAAGGGAGTTAATAATAACCACCTCACAAGGTGGCGTGAAATAAGATAACCAAAGGACGGGGCCTGGCACCAATACCCGGTGGCAACTGTGATTTCTCTTTCTTTCCTTGCTGCATTTTGCCTCCCTGAGCTCAACAACAGCCCACGTGCTACCATGGCAACCCAGAGCCACTGGAACAGTCCAGGGGCAAGGTGCTCTCACATGGCCTAATTGTCAGTTTCCTTCTGCAAATGACCACCATCAGTGCTGCTGACCCCAGGTACCAGCTGGAGGATACGGTGAGGGAAGTGAAGGGAAAAACTGGGCCTTTAGGAACTGCCCTGCCCATGGAATTTGGGGATTGCCCACTTAGGGCAAGCCTCTTTGAATGTTTGCAGGAGGCACCTATCCAAATTCAGCTTGCTAAGGCTGAATTAACCCAAACTAAGTACTGAACTGCCCATCCTGGCCTCCTAGTCAGGGTGCCAGGCTCTCCCCAGGGAGGTGGAAAAAGCAAATATATCCCTCTTTCCCAGAGCAGTTGCTCTTGGGCTCCCATTTGGGAACTCACCCCATAAATTAATTATTACACTCCCAGTTACTTCCTCCGCCACTCAGCCCTCTCTAGAAGTACCTGCCCCACTGATCAAGGCCACACTCATTTGTCATCATCTGGACAGCATATTATCTTTTAAAAAACAACCAAGCTGGGCTTCCCTGGTGGCTCAGTGGTAAAGAATCCGCCTGCCAATGCAGGAGACATGGATTCAATCTCTGGTCCCGGAAGATCCCACATGCGGTGGAACAGCTAAGCCCGTTACACCACAGCTACTGAGCCTGTGCTTAAGAGCCCGGGAGTCGCAACGGCTGATCCCATGGAGTGAGAGCCCACGCTCCACAACAAGAGAAGCCACGCAATGCAACTGCAACTAGGCTCGCCACAACTAGAGAAAAGGCTGTGCAGCAACAAAGACCCAGCACAGCTAGAAATAAATAAATAGATATATTTTTTAAAAAGCAAGCAAACTAATACAACTTAAAGTAAAATGTTAATGATGGGGTACCACTTGCTGCTTTGGATAGTCTGAGCCAGTGGGTTCTAAGAGGGGTACAGGAGGGGACAGTTTATAGCAAGCTCCCTACAGGGGTCAGAAGTTGAGGTCAGGAGGACAGTGGTCACGGCTGTAAAGCCAAATGCTGCCCCAGGGCTGGGGAGGCAATGCGGCGAATGACCATCCTGGTAGAAACTGATACAGGAAGGAGGGCAGAAATACCCTGATTGTTGCCATGCCAGCCCATGTCATCAGATCTCCTCATTTCCTTTGAGAAGCCAGCGAGGTGCATTTTACGTGAATTATCCTGATTTTATTATTTTTGGCCACGCCATGTACCTTAGTTCCCTGACTAGGGATCAAACCAGGCCCACGGCAGTTTTAAGCACCAGACTGCCAGGGAATTCCCAAATCTCCTGGTTTTAAATGATGGCAACGATGTGGAAGTTTTTAAGCACACTATATGACCAAAGAAAGCCTCCATGGTCAGACACTGGCCTGTGGGTGGCCATTATGTAACATGTGGTGTCAATTTATTTTCTCTTTCCTTCCTTCCTCCTCCAACTTCTTGCTGCCAGGTACGCCACGGCCCTGGAGGACACTGTGGATACCGGCAAACTGTTCAGGAGCCGCTCCCTGCGGGAGTTTGAGGAAACCCTCTTCTGCCACACCAAGAGCTTCCCCATCAGCTGGGACACCTACTGGGACCACAACGACCCCCTCCGGGATGTGGATGAGGCAGCGGTACCTGTGCTGTGCATCTGCAGTGCCGACGACCCCGTGTGCGGGCCCCCAAGCCACTTTCTGCCTACTGAACTCTTTCACAGCAACCCCTACTTCTTCCT